GGTGGCCTCTCAATATTAACCTACACTTGAGAAGGTGGGGATGGAGCTTGAACAGGAACCACAGGAAGGGGGTCCTCAATTGGAACTAGAAGTGGGACCATAGGAGTAGGAGGGACATCAGTACTCGAGAAAAATGGAACGGACTCAAAGAAAGTGACATTCGAGCACACAAAGGACCGATGAGAGTTAGGGTTATAACACTTATACCCTTTTTGGGTCCTAGAGTATCCAAGGAAAATGCTTTTGGTGGCACACGCATTTAACTTGTCTAAACAGGTCCTAAATTCTGAACAAAGCAAACACAACCAAAGATTTTAGGAGTAAGAGGGAACAGAGAAAGAGTAGGGAACAAGACTAAGAAGGGRGATTGACTTCCAAGGATGGACATGGGCATCCGATTGATGAGGAAACATAGTGTCAGGATAGCGTCACTCCAAAAATGCTTTGGGATATTTATATCATGCATAATGGACCGAGCGGTTTCAAGTGTCAATTTTTCTGTTCAATCATTCCATTCTGTTGTGGGGTATAAGAACAAGAAGTTTGATGAATTATCTCATGGTGCTCTAAGTATTGCTGAAATGGTGTTGAGGTGTACTCTTTTGCATTATCTGAGCGAAGAATTTTAACATGAACTCCAAATTGGGTACGTATTTCAACATAAAATTTTTGGAAAATAGAGAACAATTCATTTCGATCTTTCATAAAACGTCATCATTGAAAAGTCATTGACAAAAATTACAAAATACTTATAACCATTGTACGACACCACTTTATTTGGACCCCAAACATCTGAATGAACTAAAGAAAAAGGACTCAAGACATGACTATCAACTATTGGACTAAAAGAGACTCTATGGTGTTTCCCAAGCTGACACGACTCACAATCCAATGATGGAAGATGACTTAAGGACGAAACTAGCAACTTCAGAGCCTTGAGAGATGGGTGACCAAGTTTGCAGTGCCACTGGAGAGGAGTAAGGGAGATGACTGAAAGGCTACTAATGGGCCACCACCATCAAGGTAATACAACCCACCTGCTTTATGCCCTCCACCAATCTTCATTCCTGTCTTGAGATCTTGTAACACATAAGAAGAGGGATAAAAGGTTATAGAACAATTAAGTGACTTGGTTAGTTTACTAACTAACATAAGATTAAAAGGGAACTTACGTACACATAAAACAGAGGATAAGGACAAGGAGGTCAGATTAACATCACCAACACCGCAGATGGGAGAGGTAGAACCATTAGTAAAGAGTAACTGTTTGAGAAGTAGAAGATGTCGAGAATGAAGAAAATATATCTAAAGTCCCAGACATATGACCTGAGGCTCCAAAGTCAATGATCCAATGTGAGGGTTTGGAAGCCAAGCAAGCCATACCTGAATGGGCAAGAGTAGCTATGTTCTGCTGAGAGGATGTCTGAAGGAACTTCTCATATACCTCACGTGGGACACTCACCATTTCCCTCCTTGAAGCACCAGTAGATGAGGAGGGGGTTTGATTAGTCTATTGGTTTTCACTAACTGTACCATTGCCACTAGTCTATTGGGTGGACCATGTAAATCATAACAGAAATTAACAGTATGACCTTCTAATCCACAATATGTGCATTTCGTAGTTCCATTACTTCTTCCTCTACCACGACCTCCCCTGACTCTCAACCTCCGTTGCAGCCACCAGTACGATTAAACATAGGACCACCTCGATTTCTTGGAAATCCACGACCACCTTCACCACCTCTATTTTTACGACCTCCCCCTCTAGTTACCACAAAATTAGACCTATCTAAGAGAGAGGAAGACTTTGTAGAATCAATAGAAATCCTCCGAAGATGGGCAAACACTTCTTCAAGAGAGGGGAGAGTAGATCCTCCCAGTATTTGTGCTTGAGCAGGATCATATTCAGCCTTTAGACCCAGTAGAAACCTTGTCACATCAAGTTGTTCTCGCTGTTGTTGTTGAACTTGAACATTTGGAGTCAGAGGATGATATACATTAAGCTCATTACGGAGATTTTTCATCCTTGCATAGTATTCTTCCAACCTTTGGTTACCCTGCTTCAGGTTAAAGTACTCTTAGTAAAGCTGATATACTCTAGTGGTATTATCTTGGCCGGAATAAAGTTTCTTAGCATGGTCCTATATTTCCTTAACTGGATCCATGAACATAAAATTCACACTAATTTTAGGTTCCATGCTATTCCACAACTAGGTCATAATCTGTGCATCCTCTTGTTCCCAATCACTAAACTCTAGAGAATCAAAAGAGGGTTTCTCCTCTCTTACGTGTTTCACCTTTTCCTTGGCTCTTAAAAACACCTCCACTGATTTAGCTTATGACACATAGTTCTCATCATTCAATTTAATAGAGGTCATTTGGACGTTTAAGTAATCAGGAGAAATCACAACACTTGTCTTATTGTCACTACCGTCTCTAGTTGATGCCATGCTAACTGATTCGCCTCACCCCACAAAGAGATCACTATAATAAGCAAAAGAGTCACCCTCTACTATTCAGCACCATACCACACACTACACAATAAAATATACTTATGACCACACTGCTGCTGTCATGAGTTCAGCACTCGAAAACCCTACTGTCAACACACATATCTAGGTATAAACAGAAGGAAAAGAGGTTCATATGCTTACCTACCAATCCACACTGCCACATAAATGGAATCCAACCCAAAAAGAAGCAACCACAGTCCACTATTAGCCGAATAGAAATTTCTGTTCACACCTGTCCACAAGCAGCCCTCTTCGTATCATTGAGTAGAGGGCATTTAGTACACCATCACAACGATCACCACCACAACAATTGGAGGCATATTTAGCTCCAAGAACAAAAAACGACCACTCCTTTTTGGCTCCTTATCAATCTTCCAATATTTCTAAGAGTTACTCCAAAAAAAAATCTGATATGGTGATCCCAGGAGGACAAAGGGCGATGAAAGAAGATTGAGATTGAAACTGGTTTCTTATTGCTCTGATACCATGTGAATTGGTTGAAGAAGAAGAACAAGGAATTTTAAAAATGAGCCAGTTTCCTCTTTTTGACCCCATCCTCTTCCATCTCTAGGTTTGGTTGGAATTTGGGTCTGAGAAGGGTTGTGAGAGATTCAGACCTAGACAATATCTCATGTCTCCTCTCTATTTTTGATAATGTTTTCTTGGATCCTTTTAAGGATGACTCCAGAATATGGACCCCCACCCCTATTGGCTCTTTCTCCTATGCCTCTTTCTTTAAGGTACTTAGCCAACCCACCATTCCTATAACCCCCCTTTCCCTGTTAATGAGGTTTGGTGCAGGCCAATTCCTCCTAAGGTTGGTAGTTTTTGTTGGGAAGCCTATCTGGAAAGAATCAACACTGGTAATCTGCTCCAAAAGAAGAGACCCAATACTTGTTTGTCCCCCCATTGGTGTGTTCTTTGCAAAGCTGATGTGGAGACTGGTTTTCATCTTCTGGTGTCTTGCCATTTTGCAAAGTCTATTTAGGAGTGGGCTTGCTCTCTTTTTGGGTGTACTTAGATTCTTCCTTCGAACTTGCAAGGCCTTTCTTGTCCTTCTTTTGTTAGGTGGCATATGAAAAGGGGAAGGACTATGTGGAGAGGATTGAGGGCAGCAGTATGCTGGTCTTTGTTGGAAGAAAGAAATTCCAGAATCTTCTCTAATGTAGAGAGAGGTGCTGAAGAGTTGAGGGCCTTGATCCACATAAGGGTTATTTAGTGGATGAAGTCCCTAGAGCTTTTCACAGAATATACAGTGGATGATATGCTGAGGGAGTGGGGCGAGATTGCTAGCTATAACCAGACTAAAGCTGAGGTGAGTGTGTCTTGGACTCCCCCACCTGCGGGCTTATAAAACTAAACTTTGATGGAAGTAGCATAGGGAACCCCGGACAATCAGAGATTGGGGATGTCTTCAGGGATGAGAATGGAGTCATTTCTGCCATGTTCTCAGGCCCAATTGGAGTGGGTGACTCTCTTAGAGCTGAGATCCACACAATTATGGAAGGTGTCCAAAGCTAGGGAGATGAATATCGGAAAACTTATAATTGAAGGAGACTCGGAGGTGGTGGTTGGGTGGCTGAACAAAGAAGAGAGTGGTTTATGGAGTTATAGTAACTTGAACAGGAAATTCAGATGGCTGATTCGAGAAATGGAAGTTAAAATTAGTTGGGTAAAAAGATCAGCTAATTCTTTTGTTGATGGGTTAGCTAAACAAGGGGTGGACAGGGATGTCATGTTTTGGGCACATATGTAACTTAATTTTTTTTCTTCTTATGTTCTCTCTTTCTCTCTTGTTTCTTCTCTTGTGGCTCATAATATAGTTGGAAGATAAGAAAGTTTGTCTTCCTCTTTGTAATTATTGTGATAATTAATGAATTGTGTTATTGATCAAAAAAAAAAAAGGAGGAGGAGGAGGAGGAGGAAGAGAAAGAGAGGAAGAGGCGAAGGAGGAGGAAGAGGCAGAGGAGGGTTCTGTCTAGGAGAGAAAAAGTCACTCACCCAGCCGACCCACCTTGTATTTATATTGTATGTATTGAATTTCAAAAGTCAATATTGTCCCTCATTAAGTATGGGACACATAACTTAAACTCGGACAAAACAGACTATTCAATCTCAATTAGATAGACAAAAGACCAAAATACCCTTGTATTGTCGATTCTAACAATTGTCTAACCTCTTGGCTAGCTCAAATAAAAGGATGTGAAACATGTATAAATGTTAAACACTAGCTCAGAAATTGAAAATGATAAACACTTATAAACCTTCTTTCACACCTATTTTAACATCATAGAAAGCTTAAAAAAATAAATTATAATGTTGTTGTAAACGTGTAATTTGTTTGTTTTCTTTTTATTAACCCCTCTTTAAAAAGATCAGAAAATGATCTTGATGAGCTTCCTATTGGCTGAGTTTTTATTGTTCCTTTCCTTAAATACTGTCTAATTTATTTCTTAAATTTTTCTGATTCTTCAAGTGTCATTACAGGTGGGTAACAATTGCTTCCTCTACTTTGACCCTTAGGCTTTCACTACTCCCAGTTCTCATTTTACAACTTAAAAAGATGAAAAGGATCTCTGAGCTATTCCCTAAATGTATGTGTATTTATTTTCTTTATCATGGCTTGTTAATATGTTCTTTTTCCTTTTGGTGTTTTTACTAGTTCTTATATTGAAGTAGAATCTGAATTTTGTCATTACCTTTGCCCTATCTTGTTTATCAGTTGCACTTCGTTTGAATAAAATTGGAAAACATAGAGTGCACCAACTTGTAGATGTCTTTATTACATTTATATGTATGTGTGTATTTTAAGGCATGTGCCTTGCCTGAACCCAGGCAATGCCCCTTTTAAAAGGCACATGCCTGGTATTCCTAGGTTGCATCCAGTGCCAGGTGTCCATTTCTCCCCAAACCCCATCTCTTCTAACACCTCCTCTGAAAAACCCCACTCCACATGATCATAAGCCTTTTTAATGTCAATTTTACAAATTAATCTCTCCTTACTGCTTCTTATTCTTGCATCAACAGTTCAACACATTCACTTGCTATTATTACTGCATCCAATATTTGTGTCCCCTCAACAAATGTCATTTGAGTTGGATCCATAATTTGATGAAGCATCGATCTTATCCTTCTTGAAAGAACTTTTGCAATTATTTTATATGGACTTGGGATTAAACTTATTGGTCTGAAATCTTCACCTTGCAAGCATTATCCACCTAGGGAATAAGAGAGATAAAAGTGGCTTTTTTGCTTTTTTTTACGATCTTTTTTTATTGGAAATGGTAATTTTCAATTAATAAAATAGATGATACAACAGTAAGACCACCCAAGACAAGAGTGCTGAAATCAATTACAAAGCAGCTCAAAAGAATTTCCCCCTATTTGTCCCTTGTTTAGCTAAACTGTCGTCCATCCCATTGGCTGATCTTCTACTCCACTTGAAGCTAACACCAATCACCTTTAATAAATGAAATATCTCCCTCATGACTTGTCTGTGTGTCCACACCCCTAAACTTCTTGTTTGCATCCACTGTATCGCTAGCTTATAGTCACCTTCCACTTCTATTTGCTGAAACCCCAACTGTTTGGTCAATTTCAGCCCATGGAGAAGGGACATAGTTTCTGCTTTCAGTGAGTCTCTATTTGATCAGAATAGAGAGCCAGTACCCTTTGTTGCTGCCAAATCTGGAGCCAACACCCTTCCTTCCCCATCTCTAAAAATTCCCCCAATGCTAGAAGGTCCTGGGTTACCAAAAGAGCTCCCTTCAAAGTTAAGCTTAATTCTTTGTCTTACTGATGGGACCCAACTCTGCTGGGACCAACATTGATAATGCTTTTTCTTAGTATCTAATTTAGTTCACCATTTAGGTATCATTGTTCATAAAGCTTGTATGCCATTCTGAGCTATATATGTTATATGGAATGCTTTGAAAAGAAAAGATTTGATGAGTTTTTCTTGCTAAACTTCTTGATTTGGAATTCATTATGGTTTATTTTCTTATCTTTTCTCTGTATGTTTTTGTTTTCTAACAAGGAATATGCTTATAAAAAACTTGTGCTGTTATAATTGAACTTGGATTTCATGTTTTCAGTTTTATATCATGCTGAAGGAATGATTAAGTAGAAAACTTGACCTAGCACAAGTTGATTCTGGAGCATTTATATTATCTTGCTTAAATCTTAATTAATTTTGGTTAGTTGAGTTATTTTCCTACCTGTATACCTGTATGTAGGAGAGAGATCCTTGGATCAGTTTGATAGTAGACACACAGAATAACCAATTTCTTCTCAATTTTCTTCTTCTTGTCTATGCATTTCTTGAAGTGCCACCTCCGTTCCCACCACCTTTCTCAGGAAAGAGTTATATAAAACAGTTTTTGCTTTTTCGCACGGAAAGACACGCCATTGGATGCCCATCATATTTATGGTTCCTGGCATCCTTCTCTGTACAGGTAATGTTCTTGTGTGCTTTATGTCAGAAACCAAGAATACTTTATTTTGAATAAAATACATGTGTTTAGAAGGAAATACATTTGTTGAATTTATTACATAGAATTTTAGTAGTTTCATATTAAATGAATGAATTTGGGAGCAAAATTAGGGAATTATTTTAGTAGGTATAACTATTATTTTTCAAACTCTGTAAGTTGTTTTGTTATAATCAATAACAGTTTAAGATTTTATTAATGAAGAAAACGAATCTCATACACTGAGTATTGGGGAATAAGGAGAAGTACAACATGGCTATGTTGCTGATTCTCTTTGAATGCTTGAATTCAACTCAACTTTGTTAAAAAAAATAAACATTTCCTAGCAACTCCTCTCCCCATAGAATCTACAAAGCTACTGGAAGACCTAGGGATCCAACTAAATGAGCAGCTTATGTTCATTGCCATAGTTGTCAAGGCGTTGACTAGGCGACCAGGTGCCTGCCTACTCAACAAAAACGAGAAGGCAGATGCCTTATATAATACTATTTATATTGTTGTATCTTATTAATATGCATGCTATTGTATGCTATATATATCATTTATACTTTATTTTAATGTTTTACTATTGAAATTTAAAAGATCAAAGGGTTTTGAGAAGAGAAAAAGAAAGAAAGAAAGAAAGAAAGAGGAAAGAAGGATTAGAAGTATAAAGATTTTTTTTTTCCTATTCTCTCTCTAATCAAATAAAACAGAAATTCCATCCTTGCATAGTTTTCAAGGTGCCAAGGTGAGGCTAAGCGACATGGGGGGCACCTTGTTGCCTAGGCGATGGATTTTTTGAAGTATAAAACATAGATCCTAAGGTAGTTCCCTAGGTACCATAACCATATTTCCTTAATAATTATTCATAATTTTCATGAGAAAAGTATAAAGTTCATGTTAAAGTATAGAAAATCAACATATTCATGAGAAGAAAAAGAAGAAAGAAAAGAAAATTCAAAAAATATAGGGGCTGAACTGGTGAACCCTTATTTCTGTTATAGGAAAAGAAGAAGAAAATGTGTTGATTAGACAAAATTTTAAGTTCTTCCTTACTTATTGGTTTAGGTTTTGAAGTCTTCAAGGGTTCAACACATCATTTATCAATGTTTGTGTTGATTAAACCCTGACAAATAAGAAAATAATAAAAATAAATTAGCATATAAACACACAAAATGAATATTTTAGTTTAATAATGTCTATTTTATAATTATAATCTCAAAAAATAAAGAATAAAAAAGTATTTTATAATAGAAAGTAGAAAACTGCTTGGCTATTAGGCGAGGCGAGCCTCCAAGGGCGCCTTGTTGCCTAGGTGCCCAGCTGCCCGCCTAGGCGTCGCCTTGACTACTATGCATCCTTGTTTTTTCTATTTTAGTTTCCATCTTGAATATTTATCATATAAAGTTAATAACCTTCTTTAGCTGTTAGTTGATATGAAGTTGTATTATTTTTGAAAATAATAAAATTAACATATGTAAAAGATTTTTATCTTTTAGATTTGATGATTTGCCACATTTTTAGAGGAAATTAAATGTTCTTAATAAAGACAATTGCTATTTTTTTCCGATTAGTATACATGCTAATGATATATAAAACTAGGGAACTAACCAAATGTTAGTTCTTTATATTATAAAATTCTTATTGCCTAGACGCCCCAGTATCGTCCAGAATCACCTAAATGCCTTGAAAACTACGTTGATTGCTAATGTTTTTGCCTCTCATATTATGTCTAAGAATCCAAGGACCAGCAAAATATGATGCGAACTATGATATTAGAACTTGATAATCTCCTAAAATTAAATTGGAATTATTTGAAGAATATGCTAGTCTAAGACCTTGGAATTGGAGAAGGGAAAGCTTTTTTGTCCTCAGTGAATTCCCTTCTCCAATTGGACCTGAGAAACATTATGGTTCTTGTCTCATTTCTTATATACCCCAATAGCAAATTGTAGCCACAGAAAGACAACATAACTAGGATGGTTTTAACTTGGAGAAGTGTCTCATTTGAAAGTAAATATCAACACAATCTTCTTAAGGTTGATTGATTTTTGAACTGTAATAGCAAGTTGAGCCAAAGTATTTGAAGTTTTTTGTTATATTAGTGAAATATGGGGATATTTATAGCCAAATATTTGGAATTTTTTATTTCCTATAGGTCCTCCATGTGAAGTATCAGGAATACATCAACATTGGGCATATCATGGATGTATTATTTAGAGTAGATTATATGACAATATGCAGATTTGCAAGTATATGACTTATAGAGTTCATTCTGATGATTGATTAGGGGAAAAATACCATTCTGTATTTGTCAAATTATTCATGCTGGTTCTTTTATTGGAAACGGTAACTTTCATTAAAATAACAGTTAAATACAAGTGTCAACCACTCATAGCATGAGTGTTGACTCCATACAAATCTGAAATCTTACAATTACTCCCACTTCTCATTCTAGGCAAAGTATTTTCCTCATCTGTTGTCTAAGGGTCCATACACCCAAGCTTTTTGTCTGCAGCCACTCCTATTAGAAGTTTAGAGTCTCCCTCTACCTCAAGGTTTTGATATCCCCATTGCTTGGCCAATCTCATACCTTGCATTCTGCCTTCCCCATCCCTGAAAACTCCCCCGACTCTAGAAGGCCCCGGGTTTCCCAATGAGTTCCATTGAAATTCAATTTTACTCTTTGTTGTGCTGCGGGTGTCCAAAGGGGCTGAACCACAACTTGTGCTGCTGAAGAGTTAGCCACTACTGACCATCCCCTTAGGATATCCTCAGCTGAGAAATTTTTGAACAGTTCAGTTGCTTTCAGCCAATGTATGATCCTAACAACTTTGGAGTCAATGACTTGCTCCTTGGTTCTTTCCACTCCTTAGGACAGGAGGGAGGGAGAGAACATATCTCTGTTCTTTCTATGATAAATTCTTTTCTGTTCTTTTTATAAAAGGATGAACGTGATAATGATATTAAGAGAACATCTAGCTATTAGATCCCAATAAAGTGTAGATCTGAACAAGTATATATAGTGTCGTTCAGGTTGAAGGAATTGGATTTTGTTATATGGAGTTGTTGGAAACATGATTGAGCTATTTCCTAGCCTTTTATTGCAGTTTTTGCCATTGCTCGTTTAATCACTTTTGGACATTTATTGAAGTTTATATTTTTTTGCCTGTATTGCAATCCCAAATTTGTAGAATTCCTACTTGCAATTTAAAGGGGTTAGGTATGTTGACTGGGATAGGAACCTTTTGGTAATCTTTTCTATTTTTTTTCATGGTGCTACACAATGAGGTAGCCCATTGTCCTCTCTTAACCCCCAAACCCAGGTGGTAGCAGGATTTGATCCCAGGTCTCTACAACCTTTTGGCAATCTTGAAATCATCTTCTGGGAATCTTTATCACGACCCACATCTCAATCCTAGGAAGAATGCAGATTTTATTTTAATGTTTGATGGCAGTTGAGATCAGGTACCAGTCATGGGGGGCTGCTAGCATTGGTGGCCTTAATTTCAATATTGATGGCAGTGTGGTCTGGGCCTTTTGTGGGCCTATTGGGGTGACTGATGCTTCTGAACCTGAAGTTAGAGTCCTGCTGGTTGGTCTGAGGGTTGCCAAGTCTATCTTGGCTAGATCTCTTGCTTTTGAAGGTGACTATTAGGAATGTTATTGGTTGGTCTTCCAGCATGGACCTTGGCCCTTGGAGGCTTGCTCACCTTCTACATGAGATCCATGACATCTTGGCTTCCTTGAACTGCACTTTTAGATGTATTTCCAGGGGAATGAATTCAACACCTGATAACTAAACCTGGGGTGGATAGGGATTTTCTGCATAATGTGAATTCTTTGCTTATGTAATTCTTGATGTCATAGAGGTTTTTTTGGCTGTAGATTCTCTCATGTACATTCCCCTTCCTCCTTTTTCCTTGAAATGAAGTTATCTTTTCTCAAGAAAAAAGGAATTCCTACTTGCACAAGTTGCACTAAGAAACATAGTAAGATACAATTAGAAATGTGTACATTCAAGGGGACTTAGAAGTAGCCCCAATTGGTGACAAGATGAGGGAAAATTAACTTAGATGATTTGGTCATTTACATAGGTGGACAATGACTACCAAATAACAATGACTGACTTGGTGCAATTACAAGGCATGATAAAGGGGAAGACCAAAAAATCAGCATGGGCTGAAGTGATGAGAAATGATCTAAGGGCTTGTAGTTTGGCAGTACCGTGGCTCTTGATAGAACATATCAATAGGATATGATCCATGTAGCCAATCCCAAATAGGAGTCAAGGCTGATCTGATCTAGTTGTTCCTCTAGATATTTTGTTTTGCTGTACAATGTTATTTGGCCAACTGAAATAACTTCTTTTCAGAAAAGCGATTATGCATGTAACTGTCCAAATTATTTATCTGCTGCTGGGCTAATTTTCTCTAGTTTTGTTCTGATGGTCTAGAAATTCTTTCATAATGTATTTGCAGGTCCCATGCTTTCTCTTGTGGATGACAAGCGTCCGGAGGATGTCATTGGATCATCATCCTGGGTTTGACTGTGTAAGCCATTGACATTTATAACTTTTGGCTTCTCAGAGCCTGTCTTTTTTTTTTTTGATAATTAAAAAGGATCAATTTCATTAATAAAAACTAGTACAGTTTGTCTTCTAAACTTTATTGTTGCAGTATCAACTGTTTGTCTTCTAAACTTCAAGTTATATCTCTTTCTTTTCTAATAGTGAGGATCTGAGTTTGGGTTTTATCTGTTATATCACATGAAGTGTCCTCCAAAAGCACTAACATAGTGTCTTAATTTCCCTTTAGTTTTACCATTTGAATTTTAACTGTAATTATCTTTCCCAATTTCCTATAGATAAATACATCTAATACGATCTTTTACTCTCAATTGTGAGTAAGTTCAAACTCTCTTATGAATCCAAGTTCATATACTCAACGAGATAAGCTCATCCTTTTCAAAGAATCAATACTACAATTTTAAGAAATATCCCCACCAAGTTCCAGTTGTCTCCAGTCTTCCCCATCTTGAAGCTAAGATAGGTCTGAAGAATTTTGTTAATCAGTACTATAAAAGAAAGTTATGTATCAGGCCTATACTTTGATAGTTTTTCTTTTGCAACTTATTTTGAATTCTAGAAAGAAGAGTTAGAAAAGTTTCTTCAGACTCTACACCAGTGATGAGCCACTTCCTCTGTCTCATCTATTAGCTTCCTCACTCTATAAATGGAATACCCTAATCATGCATTAAATGGTCTTCCAGCTAGCCCTTCAATCTCTGCTCTCCATATAGAAAATTACCTGTCAAACTGTAATACGTTCTTTTATTGGTCACAACATATTAGAAAGATTTTACAAATTTTGAAAAGAAGTGAATAAAATAAATTCCGATAACAGAAGAAAATAAGTAACAAAACCCAAGGCTGAACAGAGCTCAGCTGTTTTGGGGTCATTTACTGTAGAAAGTACCTAAATAATAAAGGAATTAGTTAGGAGCTCTGCATGAATGGTGTCTCCTTGATCAATGGGTCCTGAATTCAGCATTACAGCTCCAGTAGCCTGTCCTCAAGTCTTTGAAAACCATACCCATACCAGAGAAACCCAGGTTTCACAAGGAGCACTCATCAAAGTTAAACTTAACTACTCCTTTAAGGTGGGGTGATTCCAGTACCTTGTCCTCAAGTCTTTGAAAACCAGACCCATACCAGAGAAACCCAGGTTTCCCAAGGAGCACCCATCAAAGTTAAACTTAACTACTCCTTTAAGGTGGGGGGATTAACGATATATTGGCCTGACCACTCTGGACAGTGGTGATGATGTGGCTACAACACCCTAGCCTCACATTACATCATCTACAGAGAAATCTCTAAGCTCTTTTTTTTTTTTATCAGTGAACAAGCAAAGGTTTTATAAGTTTCTCCACTATCTGCTTCTTATCGAAAAAAAATAATATTTTGCTCACCCCACACTATCCAAATGCCAATTGATTGCACCACATGATCTTAACCTTGATGGTTTTATGGGGCTCAAAAAAATGTGTATTATTTGTTTTCTCTGTCCATCTTGCTCTGAAAAATGCCAAGGAATACCCCCATAACCTCAACACAAAGGGACAGGAATGAAGAGTGGTCTCACTGCTAGCCCTACTAGGAAAGCATATATGGAGCTAGAAGAGTAAAAAAATGCTGAATCATTTCGTGTATGTTTATCTAGGACCATTCAATAAACGGAAGCCCTATGCCATGAGAAGATGAAAAGAAATAGAGAAGAGATAGAAGGAAGAAGAAGATGAAAAGTTCAAATGAGAGAATGAAGATGATAGCCTCATTGTTGGTTCACCTTTGGAATGTATACTTAACTCTTAAAAGAGGATAAAATTACATCATTAATGTACACTTTGCTACTTTCTAAAAACCCTCTCAAGTGGAGCACAGATATTGAACATGCTCAACTTGCTCAAAGCAACACCTAATTTTTTCTTGAACATGCTCAACATACATAATAGTTTATTGAGTTTCACATGTTCTTTAATATGCAAATTTTGAAGAAACTAATGAAGTTTAATTTCTGTGCACTGTGCGTGCATAATTTTCTTAGATAACAGTGTTTATATTTTGATTTATAATTTTATGATCAGTGGAATGCAAAATTTGTTGCACAGAGAAATATAACGTTACATAATCATAGTCTCTCAAATTCTAAACCTGAGTGATCTCCAGTCACATCCTTACCTAGCAGTCATAAACCTGAGTCTGCAAGCTATGGCTAAACGAATTATAGGCACACTCTTTCCTTATTCTTCTTATGCATTTAGGTGGAACAAAATGAACTTCTGATAGCTATAGTATTTTTTTCTCATAATCTATTTACTCCATGCTATGGCGAATATCATCTCAGTAGTCCTGTTTATGTTTGTCAGTCACATTGTAGGGTTAAATATTTCTCTTCTTATTTGTCAGTTGGCTTGCATTTCTCTGGGAAAGAGGAAACATTAAAATGTAATACATCTAATTAACTTCTAAAATTGTTTTTATCATTTTGGGTCCTAGTTCTGAAACCTTTACCCCCTTCTAACTAAACTTTATTACGATGTATCATAGAAAGCATGACAGTTGATACTGTGTATGGTTTCTTTGGACAGAATGCTTAGTTGTAACTTGTCATTTTGATCTTGGGGATGGTCAATTTCTGCATTTACCTTCACTAAGATATGAAATCCTGTTAAATTCATCACAGGGAGGCATACTATGGTTCCAGAATTTGACGGAACTCCCACATGGTGTTTTTGGATCTATTTTCCCAATATTGATAGCCAGTCTCCATTTCATGAATGTTCAGGTATACTATTGTATTTCTCTTTCTTCAGGTTGAAGTTTCCAGTTATATTTCCATAGAAGTCCAAACTAATAAAATATCACTTGTACACATTTCTAGTGCTTAAATTATGCATTTCCATAGTAATTTAAAGAAAGAGAAAATATATGAAGAGCTCCTCATTCGGTTTGGACTGCCCTTTGTTCCTTTTTTTGTTTCTTTTGTTCCTTCTGCAATTTAAAGAAAGAATAAATATAGCTGAGCTGGGTACAATTTATTGAAAAATAAAGCAAGGTACATTGACTAGGTGACAAGGAGTCACCGACCAACATACAAACTGTGTTCCAGCAATTAAGACAACAAAAGGATTCTAGAGAAGGTGAGGGACCTAATGGAAATAATAACAATTAGAGTGGTACATTGGTTGAAGTCCTTGAATACATTCTTAAATGTGTCAACGGATAACTTCTTTAGAAGGTGGAAGGAAGTGGCTGATCTTGCTCATCAAAGTCCATCTCCAATTACCATTGGTCTCCACCGGAAAAGGGTACATCAAACTTAATTTTGGTGGCAGTAGTATGGGTAAACCAGGTTTTGATGGGAATTTTAGAGATGAGGAAGGCAAAATTCTAGCTCTGTACTCAGGAGCAGCTGGGGAGGGAGATTCCCTTAGAGCAGAAGTATTGGTTCTGATGGAAGGTGTTCAAAGGGCTAAAGATCTGAACATTAGAAAGCTGGTTGTTGAGGGAGACTCAAAACTGGTAATAAGCTAGTTACAAGGCAGGGGATCAAAGCTATGGATATACAGTAATGAAAAGAAGAAAGTCAGATGGTTATTGATCAGAAAAAAAATCCGTGGTTATTGATAAAAAAAAAAAGAAACTCCTTCAATTGGATTAAATGTTGTGCTAATTCATTTGCAGATTCTTTAACCAAACAAGGGATGGGGAGAGAATTTTTATTCTGGGCATTATTGTAAGTGAGGGGAATATATTGGGGGAGAGATAAGAGATTTTATCTCTCGTTGACTGTCATCCTTGTAATCCTTTGCTGTGCATTTCATTGAAATGAAAATTTGCAGTTATTGATAAAAAAACAACAAAAACAAATCCAATTACCAATATTAAACCTTCAAAGTGCACTAAAAATCTTAGGATGTGTAGGAATTGTGGTCCCCACCAACACAACAAAGAGTGAAATTGAACTTCGACGGAGTAGAAATTTGTTGAATTAAAAAATATGAAAGAAAGTAGTTTCTTGAAGAGAAGGAAGAGAGAAGGAGAAGAAGAGAAGAAGAGAAGTTGAAAGAAAAGAGAGCAATTAATTTGGCCGCCCCCTTCACTTATTATTTATACTAAAATAATAGAGCAGTACAAAGACAACTATGCCCTTATAGGGCGGCAAAACATAAAACAACATATATAACACTCAAAAAACATAATAAAATTTGGACTCACATAACTACTGTGGCCCCCACCTCCTATCTAACAACTAACATAAACATCTACTCAGAAAAACA